ACAACTCCAGCGGACTTACTTCCAACTTTTCAGTTAACTAATGTGGAATTACTGGACATTCTCGTCGAAGGTGCTCTCACCTTAACTCATGCAGTGAAGCGCCGTATGGAGAGGCAAACGGGCCGGCGCGCTCGTGCGTCTTCGCACACGTGGATTTCGCACAACGCTGCCGGGCATATTTCTCGCCAACGTCTGCTCACTGAGCAACAAACTGGACGAACTTCAGCTACTGGTGGGGAAAGACGGAGACTTATTCATCCTCCGTTTTGTGCCACACTGAGACCCAGCTCTGTGGAACGATACCGGACTTTGCGCGCCAGCTGGCTGGCTTCCAGCTGTTCATAGCGGATCGCGACACGGAGCTCTCTGGCAAATCGAAGGGTGGAGGAATCTGTTTCTACTCCAACAGTGGCTGGTGTAACGATGTGGCAGTGGTTCTGCATCACTGTTCTCCTGATCTGGAATCTTTTATCATAATCTGTAAACCCTTTTACTCCCCTCATGAGTTTGCTTCATTCATACTGGTCGGTGTTTACATTCCGCCGTCTATTAAATGCCCTACCAGAGAGGAGAACATTCTGGACCACTGTTACATCACAATCAGCGGGGCCTATCACGCCGTCCCTCGTGCTGCACTGGGACACTCTGACCACGTCATGGTCCATCTGATTCCCGCATACAGGTAGAAATTAAAGCTCTGTAAACCTGTGGTGAGGAAATTCAAGCAGTGGACCAGTGATGGAGGATCTTCTGGCGTGACCCCCTTCCCCAGTGACGACTCTCTCTATTCTGGAGAATCATCCCGTCCCCCAAAAAAACAAGGATCAATGGTCTTAATTACTGCAGGCCCGTCGCCCTGACCTCTGTGGTTTTGAAGTCTTTTGAGCGCCTTGTCCTGTCCCATCTTAAAACCCTCACTGACCCACTCCTGGACCACCTGCAGTTCGCCTACAGAGCCAACAGGTCTGTAGACGACGCAGTCAACTTGGCCCTTCATTTCATCCTCAAGCAGCTGGACTCCCCAGGAACCTACGCCAGGACCCTGTTTGTGGACTTCAGCTCTGCCTTTAACACCATCATCCCATCTTTGCTGCATGACAAGCTCTCCCAGCTGCACGTGCCCGACTCCACCTGCAAGTGGATCACAGACTTCCTGTATGACAGGAAGCAGCATGTCAATCTGGGAAAACACGTCTCAGCCTCCCGGACCATCAGCACCGGTTCCCCCCCAAGGCTGTGTTCTTTCCCCTCTGCTCTTCTCCCTGTACACGAACAGCTGCACCTCCAGTCACCAGTCCGTCAAGCTCCTGAAGTTTGCGGAAGACACCACCCTCATTGGACTCATCTCTGGTGGGGATGAGTCCGCCTACAGGTGGGAGACCATCTGACCATCTGGTGACCTGGTGCGGTCTGCAGAACTTAGAGCTCAACGCTCTAAAGATAGTGGAGATGGTTGTGGATTTCTGGAAGAATGCAGCCCCACAGGCCCTATCACCCTGTGTGACTCCCCCGTCGACGCTGTGGAGTCCTTCCGCTTCCTGGGCTCCATCATAACCCAGGACCTCAAGTGGGAGCTTAATATCAGCTCCATCACAAAGAAGGCTCAGCAGAGGATGTACTTCCTGAGGCAGCTGAAGAAATTCAACCTGCCAAAGACAATGATGGTGCACTTCTACACTGCCATCATTGAGTCCATCCTCTGCTCCTCCATCACGGTCTGGTACGCTGCAGCCAAGGACAAGGGCAGGTTGCAGCGCATCATTCAGGACCCTGAAGCGAGCAAGAAAGATTGTAGCCGACCCCTCTCACCCTGGACAAAAACTGTTCATGCCCCTTCCATCTGGCAGGAGGCTGAGGTCCATCAGGACCAAGAACTCACACCACATGAACAGTTTCTTCCTATCCGCAGTCGGGCTCATCAACAACACTTCTACACTACACTTACATCTCACTTGTTTATAGTCCCGTTATCTGTTCGTTTGTGCATTTTATTTTATATTTCACTTTATTTTATATTTCACTTTATTTTATATTTTTCTGTAAATTTGAATATGTTTCTACTTTGCACTGTGTTGATTGTTAAATGTTATGCACCTCCCCTCATGTCAAATTCCTTGTATGTTCAACATACCATGGCAATAAACGGTTCGGACTCCGATTCTGATTTATGGATTTTCCTTTTGCGTAATAATTGATGCTAGATGCAGAAACCAGAGTAAGTATCAGTGTTATTCTGTTGTGTATTTTTCTTTATAAAGTCTAGGTGTCTTTGCCAGACAAAGGTAAACTAATAATTACTAATGTTAAGAAAAAGTCTCCAAGTCTCTTTTACTCAAGTATCGATGGCTGTAACACAGGAAGCAACATCCAGGATCTCCTAGACAACAGAGACGATGTGTTGACTCTGGACCAGATGAGAATGATGGAGGACTACAGGACCAGATGAGAAGGATGGAGGACTACAGGACCAGATGAGAAGGATGGAGGACCAGATGAGAAGGATGGAGGACTACAGGACCAGATAGAGAGCGGCGGTCTCCTTTCTTTCAGTGGGCTGAGTAAGTAATCCCTCACTAAGACTACAGAAGTATCAGTAATAAGATTCCATCATTGGAGGCCAGATTCAACACAATAATGTAAAGGTCGTAAAGTTGAGTTTAAAGTATTCATCTCTTGTGTTTGTGTCTCACAGGGCAAGGACTCCTCTGTGCTTTTGGTTCACTCGTGGGGTAGCTGAGAGTGGACTTCAGCCAACCCATCATCCCAGGAAGACCCAGACCCACCACAGACCACTGAACCACTCTCAGCACCACAGAGAGCCAGTGAGTACGGTGATATTCTCCCTGCCCCCCCCCGACACCACCCGCTCCACCCACCAGCCAAGAGGACGAGGAGCGTCCCGTCCCCACCGGCACAGAGGATGTAGTTTGTCTCCGTCTGCTTCTTCTGTGCTGGTGGGTTTGGGAAGCTCCTCACACACACAGGAAGCCGTCAGCAGCTCTTTGCATCTGCTCACAAGTCAAGAAGGAGACAGATGCATTTGTCACATAGAACACAGTATGTTCATGTAAACTGTATGTACTGTATGTATACTGTTTATTTACAGAGTAGCACAATAAAAATCAATGTATGACAAACTTTCTAAATATGTCTATATTAGAAACAATATCAAAATATTTCTGATAATCTGACAATGTATGACAATTAATATACAATAAATATTGTGCAAATTATAATTTGATATCTTTTTGATTTTCATTTGACTCACAGTCAAAACTAACTTACTGTTAGTACTGTTAAGTATTGATAGTCATAATATTACATGTTGATATAAATAATATAGGGAAAGCTTTAGATTACGGCCCAATCGTGCAGCATAATTCTTCCCAATTTAATTCAAACTAAATCATAAATAATTGAAATCTTTACTGATTGTTAACCAGTACAGAACGTAATGATACATACATGTAGGTGCAAGGGAATAAGGTGTGACATTAATGAATAATAAATTAATGAATTAGTATCATCATTTTTTATAACACTGCTGTAGTTTATTTCAAAATGATCATATAGAACTCAGTAACACTGAAGAGGCACAGATGACAACAAAATAAGGAACTACATAGAAAATAACTTCAAGGTACATTTGTGTTTTTACTTTGCACCAAACAGAGGTAGAGGTAGAAGAGTACTGTCGGGTACATACTGTTGGCCTAAATAGGTCATTGAATAATTTGAGTCATTGCACAATATCAAAATGAAGTTATGACATGTTCATCTTATCATATGGTTGTGTGCTCATTTTCAGAGCTAGTTTGAACATTTTCAGTGCGTGTGTACATGTTCTGTGCGTGTGTGCAAATGAGAACTGAAAATGTGTGCACATGCACTGAAAACAAACACATAGGCACTGAAAATGTGCGCACAGATTTCAATGTTTTCACTGAAATTGGTCTCATTACATACAGTCTATGGTACGTACATAAGTAAGTGAACGCATCACCGTTCTAATGTTCTTCAATTCGTTCATCAGTAAGTGAACGCATCACCATTTAAATGCACATCACTAGGCATCACTATTTAAATGCACTTCAGTAGCCTACATATGTCAGTAAGTGAATGTATCACCGTTCATATGCACTTCAGTGCTGGCTTCCCCAAGGTTTAAATATTTTTTAACAAAGATCCCATTACTGTTACACACACACACACACACACACACACACACACACACACACACAAGAACAATAATTATATATCCATGTACAACATGCATGTACAGTAACTTAAGTAAACTGAGAAACAATTAGTTTTACAAATCAGCAATACTTGCATATTAATGGTCCTTCTTGACACAAAGTCAAGTTTTTCAGTTATCAGATTTTCTGTGAAGTCTCTGCCTCATTTGAAAAAATCTGAGTAACCATTTTTTTTGAAACAGCCCAGGGCTCTGCTGCAGGTAAGTGCACATGGGCTCACACCTGAGCTCAATCCCATTGGCTCTGATCTAGTCAGGCCCCTCCCACTTCCTGCTCCTCCTCAGACAGCTCTGCATTTTTTTCTTGTTTGTAGTAAATAGAAATAAATGCCTAACTTAAAGATACAAGGTTTGATCTTTGTTCTATTGTGTCCACTATTGCAGCATACAGCAAGCGCATACATTCAGTTGAATTAACTTGCCAACGTTAGCACTGATTTAATTATGTGGGATGCATTCAACCTGAATCAACTGCAGGAAGACTAACCTAATGAGGGCTAAAAAAGCAGTTTCTTCTTCTGCTTTTTTCATGTCGGCGGTGCCTGTCAGCCGCACTTCCCTGTGATCATTTTGTAACCAAACTTTTTTTTCTGTGAAGGATTTGTTTTTTCTGTATACATAGGCAGAACATCTGGCCTCCCTGACTTCCAGTGATTTGCCAAACAAGCTGCTGTGGCTGTAAACATAAAAAAACACACTATAGTCTACCTTCTATCAGCTGTTCATGTCAAATCTATATGCTTTTGTGGCATATGAGGTGACTCAATGATGTTATTATCAGAATCAGAGAGGGGTGAACGTGTTTATACAACTTTAATGGCGACGATACAGATTGCAAATTGTGTGGCATGTGAATGACAACCTGCTGCCATCAGCTAAATATGCATAAAACTTAAACAGATTCACTTTAAAAAAAAGTGATATATTGCTGTTAACAAGTGGAGTCATAATATTGTTAAGGAACATTTTGTTTCTGCCACACTTGCTGCAGTATACACTTTGGGTTGGAAGCTAGATCCTCAGTTTTTAAAGGACAGTGATGTTGGTTTGGAAATTTAAATCATAGAAAATACATTTTGATATTTCACATTCCTACTAAACTGACATTGGTCAAATATTTCCTGAGGTGTCTCGAGGTCTAATTCTACTTTTCTCAGCTTTTTTCCAGCTGCACCTCAAGGTGTTAATCGGGGGATGTTTGGTCTTTGTGTTGTGACGCAGTAATAATGTGTCGAAATGGTCACATTTGAAATTGAAACTTGAAAAAGAAGGGAACATGAGGGAGAGGATTTATGTGGGTAACCGCAACTTTTTGTCATGTAATGTTTACAGCCTGACTTTAAACATCACCCTGGTATACACAGGGTTCGGAACCAAATTTCAAGATATTTATTGTCATATGCACAAACAACAATCACAGAGAAGCAGTCTTTGGCAATGGAAATCTGAGATCTCCTGGCAACAATGGTCATTTAAATATGTATAAAAAGAGTACAAATGGGAATTTAGGAGATAAAATAGTGCAAAGCTCTGTACAACTTGACCGAGTTAAATGATGAAATATGGCAAAGCCTGAAAATATATATTTACAAAAATAAAGAAATCTTTAAGGCAGCTGTAGGCAAAAGTTTTTAACTGTTTTCTCTCGATTATTGAGTTTTGAAAAATCCACCAAATATGAGCTGCACACAAGTATCAACAGCAGTACTTTGTTGTCCATCAACGTGAATGAATAGTTCAAAGTGTCTCCTCGCTGCCCTCACATGAACGTGGACGTGATTTCCGACGACACAGAGGACCTGCTGCTCCGCGCCACGGACGTTCTCTCCAGGAGGCCGATCTTCCTCGCGAGCTGCGCCAGCCTCCTCCTGAACTTCTCCCCCACGAAGGCGTACACCACCGGGTTGACGCAGCTGTGCAGCAGGCCCAGAATCTGGGTGCCGAACATGGCCTGGGTCACCGCCATCCTTGCCGGGCACCGGTACGGCACGATCTTCGCCCTGAAGAACGTGTCCGCCATCACCGCCAAATGGTACGGCGTCCAGCAGAGCAGGAAGGCGACGACCACGAACACGATCACCCTCATGGCCCGCTGCCGCTGGAAGCCGCCGCGGATGCGGAGGAGGCGCCGCACGGTGACCCCGTAGCAGGGCAGCATGACGGCCAGCGGGACGAGGAACCCCAGCGTGTGGCGGAGGATCCTGGTGGCCAGCCGCCACTCGTCGGCGCTGCCGGGGTCGTACTGTTGCCCGCACACCGTCTGCTGCGAGGTTTCGGATAGATGCGCGGAGTTTAAAAGCCCCGGCAGAGACAGGAGCGCGCCCACGGCCCACACGGCCGCGCAGACCGCCCAGCTGATGCGCTGCCTGTTGGCCCTGCGCGCCTCCATCGCTCTCACGATCACCATGTAGCGGTCCATGCTGATGCACGTGAGGAAGAGGATGCTCGAGTAGAAGCTCAGCTCCTGGAGAATGGTGACGATTTTGCACATGGCGTCCCCGAACACCCAGCCCTTGGTGACGGAGGTGGCCCAGAACGGCAGCGAGACGGCCAGCATGAGGTCAGCGACCGCCAGGTGGAGCAAGTAGAGGTCGGAGGGGGGCAGCGGCTGCCTGCTCAGGCCGATCACCAGGCCCACGACCAGGTTCCCCGGTATGGCCAGCAGGAAGATGAGCACGTAGAAGACGCTGACTAACATCGCCACCGCGTCCGGGATGGAGAAGTGGTTGCAGGGCTGCGTCTCCGGGTTTACGATGAAGTCCGTGTCGTTGTAGGTGAAATTGAGTTCATCATAAATTAGGCCGAAGTCTAAAATATAAGCAGACGGGTTTGGATCTAAGGACAGCAACAGAAATGACATTTCAGTGGAAATACGCGTGGCCATCATAAACATCATAAAGTGTCACTGGCTACATGCTGCAGGTTATACATAAACATAAATACATAAAATCACATTACATCAGCAAGTCACAAACTAATATGTTTAAACATGTTATTTGTTACTGTTTTAAAAGGAATAATCAAGCAGATTACATGTCTTTATATCTTTTAAATTCTAAATGTCCCCTTGCCCAGTTTCCTATCACTTATCACAGTTCACAGTTGTTATTAAGGGCTACACGTTGTCAAACTGCCTGTTTGATATATATATGAATGCATGTATTTATTAAATACCAGTAAAAATAAATAAATAAGTAAGTTGTTATTCTGAGGATGAGAACACTCACCAGTCATTGTGGCGTCTTCTCTGATGGAGGCACACAGTCTGTCACAAGGAGACAGGGAACAAACACTGTGTGTGTGTGTGTGTGTGTCCACACCCCTCCCATCAGCCTCACTTACGCACATTCTGATTTGCTCAAGAATGTAAACACATACATCACAGGAAGTATCTCATCTTTAAAGTATAGGTGGAGGTTGTGTTTTAAGGTCTTTTTTTTTTTTTTTTTTTTTAATTATTTCTTTAAAATTAATTTGTCACACAGTACTCGGTACTCGTATTGGGCTGCAACCGTATTGCCAGACAAGTGTACACTTGGGTCTATATAGTGGATACTGCATGCACTTACTTCTCAAGCTGTTATTGGGATTAAGATTTCATTATTTCAACTCCCAACAATTATTTTTCTACTTCTAATTTCTGTTTGTTAATACATCAGTCAGACAAATTCTTTTTTCAATAGTCACTGTTTGGTGACAAGCCATATAATGTGAATCACCGGTGTCATGAGATGTGCTGTCACACTGAACGCAAAATCAAAAGAGAAACTGTTTTATGAAGTCAAAATAAACACTGTTGACTGTCAATATGTTCAAGAAATGCAGTAAATCAGAAACAGCCTGGTTCTCACATCTTGTTCGTGTGATGCCTGTGTTCGTATGTTTAGGACATTCATATAGAAGTGATATGCATAATACTGCCCCACATTTTGCGAAATGGTAGGTGAGTTCTTTTAAATACCATGAACCACATGTGACTTGTCTGATTGAGAGGAAATTCCCAGCTCATGACATGGAACGATGTTGACACATGAGTGCCGAGCACCACATTTCCTGCCACACTTCTCATGTGTTTCAACTTCCAGTGTCACAAGTGCTGCATTTCTTTTTTTTGCAAGTGGAATTACATAAACGTGTTTTGGACATGTGGCAAGACATATAATCGGGTTACTTAACATTAGGACCGGTGTTTGTGAGAGCGTTACATAGAAATGTCCCTCCGGCCTTGTTTCACTCTTACAGTTTTACAGCTGCAGTGGTACAAGAAACATGACAGATGGTTTGGTTTCTATTCCAGTCCCCCACTCTCTTAAAAACACATAGATGGCTGTTTAGACTAAGACTCTGTGGTGTTAATTGGAATATGTCACATGTAAAATAACCTCATATGACCACACCAACAGAAGAAAGTGTCAAACATTAAATGCAGTGACATCGACCCCCGGAGGTCATGTTTAGGTGCTTGGTGCAACAAAGGAAATGAAGAAACACAGGATGTTGTTGTATAAAACGCATTGCTTCAAAATAGAATAGTTATTATAAAGGCTTTCTGCTTACGAGAATAAACGTGACAAAAGAAACAGCCCTGCTCAATTGTGTGAATTTGCCCGCTTGTTTAAAAAAATAAAATAAATATATATATATAAAAAGGTCCCACTAATTTGATCCATCTCATATTTTAGTGAATCTAAAATAACACATGGTTTATTTTTGCAGGCACTAGATGGTGCTGTGGAATCACAACACATGGAAACTGATGAGGCTTGTTTAAGATGGGTAGTGGTGTGGTGCTCCTATGGTGGCAGTATGAACCATGGCATGTCTGTAGTGCTCACTGGGAGGGTTTTATACTAGTCTTCTGTAGGACTGTCACTCTAGTACCGTTTATACTTGTGGCAAAACTGCACATCTCCCAAAAAAATAATAAATCTCAAAGTCCTTGTATTTCAAGTCACAATATATTTGAGCAATATTAATGAGTTTATTACCAGTAAGTTTGATATCCAAGTGCAGTGTTAAGCACTTGATTGACCTCAACAGTAACTTGTGTTTCTGTCAAACAGACATGTGGCAGCAGAATTACTGTAAAATTTATTCTGTGAAACATTTTGCCATTAAATCGAGTGTTCAAACCTTGATCTAGGTACAACTGATGGAAAACAACAAAAATATTTAAGATCAATTGACCTAGCATTAAAAAGTCTAAACCAACACCTTTCCTTTCACAGATTCACGTTGGATACAGTTGGGCTGTGAGGGAGCAGACCCTTTGCTCATGCATTCAGTCCAAGAAGTCACGTTCACCAACTTAAGGCCTTTTACTGCTGAGGAAACAAACGCATCTCCTGATTTAAAAGACAGCCAAGTTCAGCCCGACATAAATTAAGTGAAGAAAGTGCATCGAGTGTTCAAGTAGGGTGTGTAGTTTGAAAGACCATAAACGGGTAAAGGACAGTGTACGGGGAGGACACACTGGCACAGAGCTGGACACTTGCAGTAGGGGGGTAGACTGAGAAGGCCGACCACGACGCAACCACCGAGGAGTCCAGCTGACGCATGGACAGGTAGATCACAGTCACACTGTGCTGCTTACTGAGAGCACGACTGATGACAAACACCACATGTGACCATGTTAGCATGTAGAAAAATGATGCGAGCAGTCCCTAATTTAATTCATACTGAGGACAGTAAATATAGGCTGTGACCGGAAGGGGCAGAAATGTTTTTAAAAAGGGGGGCAGGGGGAAATGGGGATGTCCATAGTTTCCCCCCCCTACACCCCAATTTCATCTTTTGGCACGCCGTGGGTCCCTGCCGTTGCTAATGGTAACTGAAGACTTTGCGGCTGTTTGGGGTCCTGCAGCAGCAGCAACTGGAGGCGCTCCGTTGCCGGGCGACCGGCCGTTGGGTCGCCCAATGCTCCCGAACCCGGGGTCACGGGGCGCACCGGGGGTTGGGTTGTTGTTGGCAAATGGCGCCATGGCACCGTTACCTGTGGTTTGAGAAATACAAGCAAGTACCAACAGTACATATTAAGACACATCCTCGTTCATAGGCCTTTTTTACATTAGATATTTAGGAAAGTCACAGGTGTAAATAATATGAATGAAGGCTGGTGTGTACTGGGGACGGTACTTCGGTACCAAAATACAGAAAATGTGACAGTACTCATTTTCTTTCTACAGTAACTTCGGTAGCAGGGATCAGGACTTAAGAGTAACGGCATCCTGGGGATGATAGAAAACTTCCCTGATGATGCTTCATCGTGAACAACAAATGTGTGGGAATTGGCAGGGGGATAGCTAGTGTTAGCAGTTAGCAGCCTGTGGGCAGCACAGCACCGCTTGGCCAAATAACAGAGCTAACGAACGCAGGTTGCAATGCGTTACATTACGACACGTTCAAGCTCTAATCAGCAATGTCATCATGACCTGCTCAAATGTAATCTTGCAAAATTTTGTTTTGGCCCTTGAAATGCGAGGCGGATCGTAATATCAATGCACAAAGAGTAATAAAAGGAGTGCCTGTTTGAGTACGAGGGGTTTATCGTTTTGTGGTTCTCTGCACAGTTAGATATACTGACCTGGGGCTGCAGGTGTACCTGAATTCTGATTGGGTGGAGAGTTCCCCCTCTGATTCTGGTCTGGTTTACCCTGTTAGTGGAAGAGACGGAAGTTTAACATCCTACCACCACTGGTGTTAGACTGGACTGCTGACGACACATTTGTTAATGCCAAGTTGAAAGTGGGCGCATGGCTACTCACAGACTTGTTCTGCTGGTTTGTTTGGGACTGCAGGTCTGGGTTTGGTTCACTGAAGTTGGGCACTTCCGAGTACACCATGCAGAACCTGTGGAGACAAAGCCCATGTTTTAACATAATATACTTCACTGAAGTAGAAATAGATTTGTGGCCAGATACTCACTCGCCAATCTTCTGCAGATCCCCTCCTCTTCCAGTGTATAAGGTCAGGCAGCCCTTCCATATGGATGCATAGCTAAAACACAGAAATATCACATTAAATTTCTGAAAACAAGACCTCTGCCTGTCTGATGGAAGTATTTCCATGTGCATTGATCAGTCAGTAAAAGGTTAAAAAAAGTCAACTCAGTAACGTTGATGAGTTTGCACGTGAGACATCGATCCTACCCTCTGGTCAGTTTGATGATGTCCCCTGGTTGAATGAGGCTACCAAGTTCGTCCCAAACAGAGATGGCGATGCTCCCGCTCTTGTCTGCCACCTTGCAGGAGCGCACCTCGTGCCCATCTTTCGTTTTGGTTACTCGTCCTGATAGAATGAGACAATGACAAGTTAGACAAGTAGGACCAACCTGCTCGAAACGCCTCCAACCAGAGCTAAATCAAAGCTAAAAAAAAAAAAAAAGTTAAGTCCATTCACAGTAACGCTACCGCTGGCTCAAACAAAAAAAAAAAAAAAAAGACGAGTTGACTTTACAGGGAGAGGCACTTCAGCGTCACGGTCCAACCAACTTACCTATTTCCAACACGATGAATACGATATTGAGGTTTTTCGACCCAGGCTTCACATCCTTTAACAAAAACAGGGCCTCGCCTGTAGCGGTGGCCATTGTTAAGTCTAGAAGAAAGATATCAACTCTTCGTTCCTTTGCTGCCACTTGAATTCAACGGCAGCTAAGAGCCGCCTGTCGTTACTCGGTAATGGGTTAGCGTTAGCTAACGTTACAGCTAGCTCTGCTAACTAATTAGCCTGTTGGCTAAATGCTAACGTAACCCCACTTCAAACACTAACGCTGTCTCAACCGTTTATAGACACCAGGTCCGGCTTCTATGGTAGTCGGCTAACGTCACATTCAAGTCAAATACAGGAAACACTGCCGCTGGATGTAAGGGTCGAAACATAACAGTTACGTTAACCGCCCTCTTCAAAACAGCAAACACACTACGAGGGTGACCAAGTGTGCTAGCCGAGTAGCTTTGCTAAGGAACACTATGCTAAATGTTAGCTAGTTCGTTCTGCAAGCTAGTTTGTTAGCTGCCTTCTTTTAACAACAGGATATGAGTCTCTGTGCGTATATCTATTCACAATTATGGCCATAATGGCAGTTATTCACATAAGCTAACGCTAAGCTAACGTGAGACACGTAAGTAATATAGCAAACTAGCACACAACGATTTAGCAATGCAGTTGGCCAAAATGTCAAATTCAGATTAACCAGAATTAAGAGGCTCACAAATCAAGAGTGGCGAGTCAAATCTGAGATGTTTCTGCTTTAACAAAGACCGCTCCACTGGCTGCAAGTTACACCAGAGCTTGAGATATGATCTGTGCCGTTAACGAACTATTAGGAGATAGTAACCTCGACCATTTAGACGACTCCAGTTTACGTTAATGTTTTCAAATCGACCGCATTTCCTTTGTGTGCCTCTTTTGAGAAAAAGCAACTGTTGTTGTTAGCTTTGCTAGCACGTAGTCTGGCCAAATTATTTTGTCAGAAGACTAGTGTGTCTATATCTAACTGTGGCCTCTAATACGTTGACGTTTTTCGCAAGCTTTAAGTGCCCTGGCTATATATGCCTAAACAACACTAAAACACTGTCTAAGCGCTGTTTAAGCTGTTCACATTCAATATATCCTCCTTGTAGCAACAACACCCCAGGTCTACGTCAGACGTGGGTTTGCCGGTCTAATTTATATGACTCGGTCGGTCCTACTATCCTACATTGGAGAGGGGTGTACACATAGCAACTTCTTTTCGTGTGTCCTTACACAATCGAGCGGACAGATACTGACAAGTACTCGGATTCTATTTATTAAGACAATGCAATCACAAATACAAGCAGGCAATGTGCTGACCTGTTTACAGTACACAGGGAGAGTAGTTGGTTTGTACCAAATGAGTGCCATTCACAAACAACGCGAGAAGAGATGAGAGAGATAGATAATAGGCTCGTTCGAGTTGAACTGCGCCTCGCCTGGAAAGCAGACGAGAGCAGGCGGACGTAGAAAGGGGCGTTGACAAAAAACTGCGTTCAAATCGGACCGTTTTCAGCCGCCTGCTTCTTCTTCTTTCTTTTGCTTTTTTTGGCGGTTGGCAAACAGCTTTCGGGTGCATTACCGCCTCCCACTAATCTGGAGTGTGGACTAAGGACTCCAATACGACAACCAAACGAAAAGAAATACATATACATATGTATTTGTATTTCTTTTCGTTTGGTTGTTTGGTTGATGTACACACATACATATACATATATGTGTGTAAATAAATAAAGCTATGTATATAAAAATATATACTAAAATAGAAAAAATAAATAATAATTAATAATTCATTTTTTTCTCAAATTCTATTCATTAATCTGGTTGACTCTAAATATTCCAGAAAAAGTTTTCAACATTTGTCACTGAAGCTTTTCTTTAGTACATTAATGATGTTTTTCTCTCCAATCTCTCTTAGACCTTTTTTCAAAACTTCTCTCGCTGACTCGTACCTCTAACAGGACAATGAAACATGGTCCACGGTTTCTTCTTCTCCACAAAATGTACACTTTCCATTATTGTGCTTTCTAATAACATAGAGGGAACTGTTCAGACCAGTATGTCCATTCCTTAGACTTGTCATAATCATCTCCTCTTTTCTAGTTCGTCCATTAGATCCTGCTCCCAACCAATGGTTTATTGTTAAACAGATATCTTCCTTTACTCCCTTTACATTCGTTCTGACCTATCTTTTTGATTTGTCCCTTAATCACCACTTTAGCTTCTGACTTACTTATATTTACATTAACGATTTTTCTCCCACTCTTCAAAGACCTTTTTGCTGCTTTATCTGCCTTCTCATTGCCATCGACTCCAACATGGACCCACACTAAATGAACCGCTATCCGCATTTGATGGATTCTTAAAAATGATTGTAGAATTTTAAACAGTAAATCCTCTCTGCTTCTGGAGTGGCACAATGTCAAACGCGTTAGCACTGCACATGAGTCTGATGCAATCACCAATCTCTCTGGCCTGACGTCCTCTACCCACTGTAACACAATAACTATATGGCCATCATCTCACATGTAAACACAGATAAATCATCACTGAGTCTCTTCCCACACTCCAAATGGAATTCTGGGATTACTGCTGCTGCTGCTGTTCTACCAGTTTTAGGGTCTTTAGATCCATAAATCTGTATTTAATTGTGGTAACTGCATGTATGTCTTGAAGATCTTACAGTTCCCCCCCCCCCCCC